TATTTAGGAAAATATGTCCCCTTTTTCCACAGCTGTTTTATTAGTTTAAAAAATAAACTTTGAATCAAGTCATGCCCAAAGATACAATAAGATAATCAAAGCTCTTATAAAAGAACTGAAGCTTAGTGTCTCCTTGAAACCAAACTGCTAAATGGAAGGATAGAAGAAGCTGTTCCCAGTCACTTTCTGCTCATCAAAACACCAGGTTTCTATTTTGCCTTTGAAAAGCAGAGAATTTGTTGTATAACTAACAAATTACACTTCTTCCTCAGTGAGGTGGTGCTGACTGTGCAAACACAAACACTACTGGCTCATCAGGAAAACACAAGGAATCACCTCCTTTCAGGAAGTGCCTGGAACAGATACTGCAAAGTGAAGGAGTTCCACATATAGGTAGTGTAAAAACAGAAATTAGTTCCATTCCAGGAACTGGAAGGCTGTAGCAGAGAAAGAAAACGTTAAGCCTCCTATGCCCTGTGTATGCAGGTGTGGTGTGAGACAGTGGAAACATTGTTTCCCTACATCCACACTCAGGAATCCAGGACTTTCTTAACCTTGGCAAACCTCAGTGGGGAATTGTATGTGTCACAGATTAAGTACAGTTTATTTGGCTTTGTGTAAATTTTCAGTCTATAATGCTTAGAGATGATCTGATTTCTTCCTTGGATTAGTGCTTACAACTGAAGCTACACTAGTGTAGCATCTGAGAGTATTTTTAAAATTACAGTAATTAGCAAAAATTCACAACAGAAGTAACTTTAAAAGCTACAAGAACTCTAAAGCACATTTCAGTTATACTGTTGTAATTCACTGCTCAAAGCAATGTGGGATGTGGTATTGCTTGTTAAATAGTTAAGGATTAACTTCTATACTGCTACTATTCTGGCCTTTAAACCTAGTTATTCTGGTAGTACACACATCTGGAACTTTTCTACAGCCTGCTTGAGGGGAGAACAATTTTAACAATTCAATCTGACTGTGGTCACCCTTCTATAAAGCTGCCTAACAGCACAATTTACATCTAGCAATCTACAGTTCTCTGGATGATAGAAGTCAGCTACACAACCAGAATTTTTCAAGGTTAAGACTCACTATGAGATTTGTAAGGACTCTGAACTATGGTTAACTGTATCAGGTGCTTTGAAATAACGTCTGTGCTCTCATCTCCAGCCAGATCCATGTCAGGCAGCAACAGGAAGAGGGAACATGGTAAAATCATGATGCATTTACTGTGGTCAAAATAACAGAGTTATTGTGACTCTCTGAATTTTGGTGAAACTATTGTGGATCTAAAATTCACCTTTCTAAAGAGGTTAGCCTAAAATCTAGTCACCAAAATGGCAGATTAGTGAGTAGTCTTCCTGGTGACAGCAGTAGTGCTAATGAACCTATGAAAGTCCTGGAATGAAAATCCAAATGAGTATTCCATTGTTTCTAGTTATCTAAACTGCTATCCCTGTAGGAGCTTACTTGAGTGGCATATGGGCTTTCAAAAGTAAATACTTCTTAAAAAGTATATACCTTTTTCTTTTGGCAGAGAGGGCATCTGCCCTGCCAGCAGTGGTCAGCGCTCTTCTTGGGGACTACCACCACTAATCTATTTTTGGAACTGTTCTTTAAAAGCTTTAGAACTGAAGTCTGTTTTATCTGCCTCAATCAGGATTCACCACATACGCTGTCAGGTGATTAATTCTATGTGAGAAAAGGGAAATAATACCCTTACAGAGAGGAAGATGCAGCACAATTACTTTTAGTCCAAAGAGCAGCTCAGTAGTATCTGGTCCCACCATTTTGCTACACAAACTGGTGGAAGCTCTGCAACAGCAAAGTGCTGCTCATAACACCAATGACCAGCATGTGTCCAGTACAGAGCTGTGACCAGAAAAACGGAGAAGGGACCAAAAATGGGGATCTAGACCAACACCAGCTGCACAAGTCAGATGTTTCTGAGTGCCTTTCATACGGCCTGTCTCATTTAAATGACAAAAGAGTTTATGAATTGTAATTCAAGAACTTACCACTGAAAGATACTGAAGTAGTTCATATAATTACAAAAATGAACAAACTTTCTGGGGTCTGAATGGATTTGTACTTGATGATACTCCCGTCAGTAGGGGATCATGTTGTGCATTCTGCAGGCAGAATTGCTTCAAGTCAGCTGCAGCTTGAGAAACCTAGTTACAATAAAAGCTGGCATTAGAATTCACTGAACACTCTTTACAGAGGATGTGGTTTTTACATTGCAAAGTATAAAGAATACTACTAAATTATTCTGCACTATAGTTTATGTAGATTTTATGCAATAATTTCATTGTAGTTATTTTGTTTCTTAAAGACAAAAAGATGAACAAGGTAAGAATGAGAACTGATTTGGAAGTTTAAATATCCATGTTAAACTTTTAAGTATGAACACATGAGCAAGAGCTTGGAGATTACTTAATTAAATATATGAAGATACTTGTTCTAGCATAAACAGTTCAAAAATACTGTCTATGGTTTAACATGTTCTACTCTACTGAACTCGCATTTCAGGCTCCCTTGGAAAGCCATCCTTATGATGAGATAATGGGGTTCTGAGCACCCTTAAGGAGTTTTTGTCATGCTGTACCTTGCAAAAAACTGATCAGTGAAAAATTCTGTCTTGCTTTTCTTTGCTGTAACTCTGAACTCATGCAATAGAACGATCGAAGTTTCAAAAAGTTGCATCTTCCGCCGACACTCGGCATGTGCAGTTTGCCCGGTTTCTCTGCCGTGCCAGGCGCGGTCTCGCCCCGGCGCGGCACAAGCTCAATGCACTTCGTGTGCCTGGCAGCGACATCTCCATCTTGCCGTGCCGGGCCAGCCCAGCCTGTTGCGCGCCCCGCCTCGGGCGGCCGCTCCGCAGAGCCCGAAGGAAGGGCGCTCCTCGCTCCGAGGGCACGAGCGGGCAGCCCGGGCCGCGTCCATCGCCCGGGGGAGCGCTCCGGCCGGGGAGCGGGCCCGAGGGGCGGCGGGCAGCGAGCGGCAGAGCCCCGGGCAGGGGTGGCGGCGGAGCGGACGCGGCTGCGCTGCCGATCCGGGCTCGCCTCGGCCGGGGAACCCCGAGGGAGCCCCGGGAGAAGCCCGGGCGCCGCCGCCCAGCGGGGTCCGCGGGGCGGGGCAGGTGGGAGCCGGCGGCCCCGGCGCGGCGGGCGCGGCCCCGGGGCGGTGAAATGGCGGCGCGTCCGCCCCGTCCCGTCGCGGCTCCGCGCTCACCTTCACGCGGGTCACACTCGCCTCCAGGCGCAGCTGCTGCACCACCTTCTTCATGGCCGCCACGTTGGAGGAGCCCGACATGGCGGGGTCGGCGGCGGGCTCGGCTCGGCACTCGCGGCACTTCCAGCACAACTTCCCGGCGCGGCCACAACTGCCCGGACCGCGGCGCCTGCGCAGCCGGGGCCGGGGCGGGCGGGGCCGCTCCGTGTGCCCGGGACGGGGACCCGCCCGCGGGCTCAGAAACAACCGCCGCCCTCACGCACTGGGGGTGGGGACTGGCGCGGGGGGAGGTTTTCACACCAAGGTGGCGAATCTTGGTGATAATATCCACTGGGTTCCAAGTTTGGAGGTTATTTTGAGATGCAATGAATGAAGTTCCTTAGTTCGTGCTAGCAGTTTGAGTGCTGACTGTAGCCTGGAGGAGCAGCTTGTAGTCCCAGTTCATGGCAGAAAGTGCCCGGGAGCGGCAGTGAAGTGGGAATGGGGTGACATCGGGTACTGCAAAGGACAGCATCTTCCCTGTAGGCGGGAGCAGTGGCAGGAGCCCGTGCTGTGGCCGGCAATGACGGGACAGCGATGGGTGCCACACTCGGGCCACTGGGGCAGCTTGCGAGTAAAGACACAGGCCCTGTTAAGTAGGTATTTCCCACTGACATCAGGAAATCTGAATTCCACAGCGCCAGAGTGAGACTTGCAAGGTCCGGTCATTTATGCTCAAGAGCAGGTGAATTAGAAGTAGCTGGGGTAGAGGCAGGAGGAGTAGAGAGATCTCCTGTTGAGAGCAGAACAGCACCTGAGTTCGGCAGGTGAAAATCCAGAGGAGGTTTGTAACCTCAGAGAGGCTGGAAGAGCCGTCACAGCGAGAGCACCAAGGAAACTCCTAACAACAAGAGAAAGATGAAACATGCTTTTTAGCAGGGCCTGTTGCAATAGGACCGGGGAAATGGTTTTAAACTAAGAGAGAGTTGATTAGAGATGAAGTTTTTCACACTAAAGGTGGTAAAAGTGTGGAACAGATTAACCAGAGGTGGGAGATGCCCCACCCCTGGAAACATTCAAGGTCAGATTGGACTCGGGGGTCTGGACAACCTGGCCAAGTGGGAGATGTCCCTGCTCGCTGCAGGCCTTGGACTAGCTGACCTTCAAAGGTCCCTTCCAACCCAAAGTGTCCCATGATTCTATCATAATGTTAGGACAGAAGCATGGTTATAATTTATGGAAGTATTTTTCTGACATGGGTGCCCAGCACAGTCACGTTTTCTCGGAACACTGCATTTGGCTGGCACAATGTGTTTGCTGCAGTTCACAATAATTCACTTTATCAGATCCAGGTCCTGCAAGAATCTTGTTTTGTGGAGCTTTATGTCTGTGTCTTTAGGAAAACAGTGGAAGTGTGTAGAAAATTGTATACTACCAAAATATTTTTATGAAAGGGGAGAAAACGTTAAGAGGAAATGCTCTATGGCAGATCTCTTAGAGGTGCAGGGCTATGATTTAGCAATTCCCCCAGTTACTTAGGTGATGGTCACTTGTGTAGAAGGTGTGGTTGATTCTGTTTGCAGTTAGCTGGAATCTTTCTGCCTCAGCACAGACACAACTTCCATTTTCGTAAGTGGAATGAAGATCAGTAAATGAAAAAAGGATATTTATGGAGGAACTTCTGTCATAACAGATTATCATGAAACTCATTCTTAAAGAATGCTTCAATCAAGAAGAAAATTAGAAAGGCCACCTGGCATTTGCTGTGGTCACATAGAGGGACGAACATGTCATTGAGTCAAATGAGACCTCAGACTTCACAGGTGAGAGTTTTTGTGCTTTTCCACACAGTTTTTTTTTTTTTGATTTCACGAGCAAAAAATAAGAATACATTAAAATAAGGTTCTAGAATACCTGAGAGGAAAAAAGATGTGCTTTTAAAATATTATATATAGAGAATTATTTTATAGTTCATATTAAGTAACTCAACACTTGCAGAAATATTTAATATAGCTCATTTGCATGGCTTTTAGTTAAAGGGAAGTGTATCATACTTGTCAATACTGATTTTTACTAAAGATATCAAGAGCTGGAAATTAGCAGTGCAACAACTACCACAGGTCCGAACACAGCCCAAGTGAACCTTGCTCAGCTTAGTTATTCTTTTTGCAGACATTAGCAGGAACATTTTTGTGTTTCCAAGGTAGCTAATATTATTAAAAACAGTCAGAAATATTATGAACTTTTTTTCTTGATAACACAATCAAGTTGTGGTGCTATTTGAATCAAGCTTTCAGGGCTTTGCATTTTTTTTTTGAGATGAACAAAGGTAGGATTTCAGCTGAGGGATTTTTGTAGTCATGACACTCTCCAGAGTATCAGCTGGTTTTGATAAAATCTCTCCATTGCTGTCACAGTGATACACAGCAGTAGCACAGGCTCTCTATTATCTCACTTCCATTGGGGAGCTTGTTCAAATGTGACTTATTTTGATGCTGTCAGCTGTCACTCAGTCACAAATTACGCTGCTGTCACTGTTCTCACCATCTGGTCATCGCTGTGAGACAGGGCCTCCCCGTTCTAGTCCCTGTGCTAATTCCAAAGGAACCATTCCTGCTGCACAAATTGGAAGTCCACCTAAACAAAACAAAGTGTTTAGGAGAGGATGATAATACATTTACATCTGTTCTTTTTTCTAGCTGTTGGAACTTCATGTTTTTTATGTCCCAGCAGAAGTGTGGAATTTCAAGCTGAATACAGTTCCTGTAGCTCTTACTAGCAAATTCATCTCAGCTGGATTTATAAGGTGAGTGTAGTTTTAGGTTTCATGTACATGGTAGGTCCTTCACACTGTCCTTCAGTCCAACCTTTAGCCCAACTGTTGCTCTAGAGAGCAAAATTACATCTGGAGCAGAAACTTGTTGTCTAATTAAATTTTTGGAGTGTAAGTGGTGACCATAACTACCATTATGTAAATTTGTACTGTATCAGGCTTAGCTCCCTTGCAGCTCGTGGTGTAGACACTGAAAAGCAGTTCCAGAGCAGTGCTAGTATTTCTGTAGAATGATTTATATTGTAAAATCATATCTTACATTCTTTCTGTCTCCTTGAGCCAGATTATCAAAAGCTGGAATTCTTTTGGGCAATGGACCAGTTTCAAGAGAGTGGTTGATGAAGACAGGATAGCCTCTCAGTTCCCAGGATCAGGGGTATGATGATCTGAGCTCTCTCAGTCCAGAGAAAGAGCTGAAGCCTTGTTTCTCAAGGGGAAGCATTACAGCCCACGAACCAGCAGCATTTCCTCTTTCTTCTTGAAAGAAGAAAGTGAAAGGCTGTGAGAACACCATGTACCGTGTGTGCTCTCAGGTAGCTGTTTAAAGGACTTAGTGAAAGAGTACCCTGGTTCCAATCCTAGGCTCAAACGTGGCACAAGGAGTTGTATTTTTCATCTGTCATAACTCTGAAAGTTTTTAAAATACTTCTAAAACACTTTGCTCACAAAATCTAGTATCTAGTGTGAGGAGAAGTTGTAGAAAAATCAAATAATGTAAAGATGTGTATTGAAACTGAGCTTTTAGATACAACTTGTCTACATCTGTGCAAAACCTGTCCATTCAGCTAAAACTACAGGGAATACAGGTTTTAATTAGTTTAAACTGAGTCTTGTATTATCCACTTAAGATATATGTCAGTGTAGCTGAGAAGACTGGCAGCAATCAGGTAGGAGCATGTAGGGCAGAACGTATTCATTCTCACAGCTGCATTTGTTGAAAGGCTGCTCAAAACCAGAGAAAATAAGTGCATATACCCATTTTGTTTCCTGTTCTGGTCTGCAGCAGAGGTGCAGAATGCATGTCTGAAGTGGTAACTTCATTTCACATCATGGACATCTGCCACTGCCCTATATTTTCCAGTTTAAATTTATTTCAATGAGGCATCAAATTAAATTGGGATCCTCACTGATTTCAGTGGGTTTATATCTGCCTGGATATTGTTGCTTGCCAATGACTCTTAGATAATTGCTAATTAATTCTTCTATGGGTAGTGTGCAATGCTGCAATACATTAGCATTAACATAACTAGTACCTGGCCAGTGAATCACTGTCTTTAAAAATGAAAAATATTTTTTTAAAACTTCTTTTATTGTGATCCAGGAGAGGGAATGGCAGCCTTGCTGGTACTCCTGTGGCTTGGACGCTGTTGATAGCTCTGTTGTTCAGTCAGCTTGACAATCCTAGTGCTGTCTGAGTCAGCTTTCCAAAGAATTCCTAGGTCAAAGTACAGGCCATTTCCATTAGCTGTGAAATTAGAGGAAGATGTTAAAGGTGTAATTGTCTATGGCCCTGAGTTCTTGTTCCCGTGAATTTGATTTCTTAGCCTCTGTGAGCTTTTTTTTTCATTCCTCATTCCTCACCACAGAAGCCAAACTTTTGTTCTTTCTAGATGAGATGGCTGCAATGAGCTCTAGTTTGCATTACTTTTAAAGGGACACCCTGAAGCAAGTGACTTGTATGTGACTGTTTTCTGCCAGCCAGTGGCAGCAAGTGACAGACTAATGTTATTGCATTTTCCTAGCAGCTGTACTGGCAAATAATTTTGAGATAAATTTCTGCCCTATATCTCAGGATCTGGATACCTAGATACTTTTCCCCCATTATACATTGTAGATGTGTCCACTCTGCAGACTTTGGTCTCCTCTGCCTTGTGCCTGTGCTCCAGGGCAGTTTTATGATCTTGAGGAGGGTCCTCTAAGTTCAAGATATTTGAAAAATACAAGGCAAGCATTGTAGCCCACTGAAGTGTTGTGTTCATGAGATGAAAATGGCAGTGTTTTTCTACATGCTTGAGGTGTGAACTGAAGGCCTATAGGGCTGCTTGGAAGTACAAACAAACCTTGACAGGGTAATGTTGAAGACCTGTTCAAATGGAAGAGCTGGCAGGTTCCTGTCTATACTGGTTGCTGAGAATGGCATGAGCTATCCCCAAGCTGTGCCTGTGCATTGTTTGAGGAGTGAGAGCTGCCTGGGCCAAAATCATCCTACCACTTAATCAGAGTGGGTGATTAACAGTCTCAGGCCTGCATTTGTTCCCTGGTTTCTTATATGGCACCTTAGAACAATTAGAATTGCTTATGCTGTGCTGCAGTGCTTTGGTATGCCTCTGGCACATTTGGATTTATTGTGCAGAGATGCTCTTTATTCTGTAGTCATTTTTCTACTGAGCTCATTACCTGAATATTTGCATACTTTCAAGTAGTACGTTAAATGATGCAATTCATATTTGTGTCAGTATTCTCATCCTCAAATTGTGGTGGAAATGTTCCCACTGCAGTGTTTGGTTTTTATTTAAAATACATTTGCATGCACACACCCAACTACAAATTTGTGCTGGAAAAGACAAAAGCAAAGGAATGTGCCTGCTGCTTAAAGTGGGCATTGCTGAAGGCTCCTCTGGCCCTGGGTGCTTGAAGGGAATGTTCAACAGTCCTGGTCCAGCCCCATGAAACTGTGTCACTTAAGTGGAAGTGCACGACTGTAGCTTCCAGTGGTGTTGTTATTCATCTGCAGATGAGCAACAGCATTCTGAAGAAGTATGTTTCATACTTTGTCTGCTTCCATATTCTCCCTTTGTATGAGGCTGGTTAATTTAGGACAGCCCTTACAGTGCAGTGTTCTGAGTGCCACACCAAGACCCTCCGGCCTATCCGTAACTGGATTCAGTTCTAGGACATAGTTCCCAGTTTTGGTCATTCTGCCTGTGCAAGCCAGCACATACAGACCATTATCTTCCCCCTCCTACTAACTAGCCATCATTATTTGATCTTACAGATGTATTAATGAGTGACAACATTCTAGGGTGTCTCCTCACATCACATTAAGAGTGCTGCGGGAGAGGCTTGGAGAGTACCTGGGTGGAGTGACCGTTGCAGATAAATTCAGATTTTTAAAATGCATTGGGAAGAAACTAGCAGTGGTAAGTTAATTTTTTTTTCTTTAGTGCTCTTCTGTTTTATAATGCAAAGCAGAGATTTCATTCCTGCAGATGAGATAATATCACATAAAGTAGAGATAACATTAGGGGCACTGTTAGCATTTCTTTCAAACATACTGCAGCATAAGCTCTTGTCAGAGCACATCTGCTTCCCCGAGTGCAAAGGCAAAGCTGGACAGTTGTATTAAAAGTACCCTTTAAAGCAACAGGTGTAATTAGTTGCCATCCAGTGAAAATATAATGGTTTTGATAAGTCCATGGATTAAATATGATAAATCTGGTTGCATTAAAAAAAAACCCAAACCCATAAGGCCATTACTACCTGTACACAGTTTGGAATAATTCAGATGACAAATTTGCAATGGAAACTCAGAGTTCCTCTAATGGCTCCGATTAAATATGATAAATCTGGTTGCATTAAAAAAACTCCAAACCCATAAGGCCATTACTACCTGTACACAGTTGGGAATAATTCAGTTGACAAATTTGCAATGGAAACTCAGTCAGAGTTCCTCTAATGGCTCTGGCTGTGACCTGCCCAAAAGCATTTAAGACACCATTCTCTGAATGAAAACTTCTCTGGATGTTCCACTGTTTAGTCCAATAATACAGCCTGAAATGTAAGTTATAAAACCCCTACATGTGTGAATCATAACTGTTCCTCACATCATTTCTACATATATAGCTTACAAAGTTTAGCTAAAGATTAAATAAACTTCAAAATTAGTCCAAATGAAAGTCTGTTCATGTAATACACGAAGATTTAAGTCATTTATATAAATATAGAATACTTTTTCCATGTCTCATTTCACCTCTTTCTCATGGATTTGGAAATTAACTACAAGCAGGCAATTTGGTGCCATTCTTTATTTTGTTTCTGGTTGAATTATCACCAAAATCACTTCCACAGAAGACTAGAATAAATACTAAGTAAAATGCAAAAACTAGGTGGAAAAACATGAAAAGAAACTTAAAAGACACAATCTAAATTGGAAAGTAGGCATATGTTTTCAGTGAATTGAGGTCCTCTTGTAAGATGATTAATTTTCTTCCCCACATAGTTTAGAGATAAATGGAGACATTTTCCAGCCTTTATAATGTCAGCAAATGAATAAAATATTTTATGTTAATAGCGAATTAAAGATACTGGTAACATACATGAGGATTTATAGAGCCAAATGAAAGGTAGTTTTTCTTTGAGGTATTTACTGTTGTTTGATGTTTAACTTTATAACAAAGTGTAAAGCAATAAACCAACTGCTTTATTTGTTGTTTAGGGTCATGGTAACCTCACTGAATTACATCTCCATGATCAAATATTTGTTGAGTGTTCTCTCCCCTTAGTCTTCTGTTTCACAACTCTAACAATGTAAGCAGAACTAAGAGCTGTACCCTACTTGCAAGCAAGGGTCTTTTAAGTGAAAAGATAAACATAAACTAAAATCATGTTCATTTGCTCTTCCTTTTTTGCATATAACCTGTGTGTTTAATTCAATATAATTATTTGAATGTAGGCTCAGATTTCTTTTCCTTACATTGGAGCACATCTTTCAAATATATATTGACTATTTTAGACTTTGTTTTTAGGACAACTGTTCAAATGTGAAAGTGTATGTCACAAAAAAAAAAGAAGGAAAATGATAAATACAAGAAAACATAGGATAATATTAGATTTTTTTTCCATATACATTCAATATTTTGCAATACTATATTAGGGAAATAGAGAAAATTATGTGAGACTCAGCATTTCTGTCCAGATTCTACTTGAAGCAACTTTTGATAAAGAAAGTTGCAAATTTTCTTTTCCTATGACTGTTGGATCAGGTCCCTTGAACCATAAGAGAAAGTGCAAAGGATAAAGAACCATTCAGTACATGCATGTAATTTTGTGGGTCTGATTAAGATTTTGAAAAACAGACAAAGTTTCAGAACTCTGTTAGAAAATACAAATGTACTCTGGGATACTTCTGCCTCATAAGGCCACTACAGATTATAGTGATGGTTGTAAAATAATGCAGTATGTAAAAATGGCATGCATTTGTCACATGCAACACTATGGATGAAAAAAGTATTGTATTTGTTATGTTTCCATACTTTATCTTCCGAGGTGAAAGCAAAGCAGGAAACAGAACTGGAACTGAAGTCATTTGCTCCTCCTTATGTAAGTACTGAATGGCTTGTAAGGTACCCTTTTCAGAAATTTTACATGGCACATTTTCTATGTCCTGTCTGATGGATATACTCTGTAATTTCAGGCACTTTATCCTGAATTATATTTATTACCTGGAGTGGAATATTTTGAAGATGTTTATCCATTGCTATCATCACCTCAACAAAAACATCACGTTAGTGAAAAAGCTAATAGGTTTGGTCATGGATCAAGATTATCCAGCCTTTCCCAACAGAAACCTGAAAAAGGCAAACCATTTTTAGAAAGTATTCGAAGCAGGCATCAGGTAGAAAATCTGGAAGTGCCCAGTCCTGTGGAATGGGGTGAGAAAGAGCCTGTTCCAGTTTCGCACACAAACAATAAGCAAAACAATAACAACAGGATTCCAGAGAAACAGTTCGAAGAAAAATGTAAGCTTAACCAGTGTAGTGAAGGAGGGTGATGAATCAGAAGGCAAATAAATATTATGGTTAACATACAGTAAAATAATATCTCTGTTTCATATTATCAATTATGCAGATCAAAGTGGATCTGATGGATCTCTCTTCACACCAAGCCATTCAAATCCTGCAGACCAGGAGTCTGGAAAGTGTGAGCTGGTGTTACAGACCTCTGAGCAGAATCATCTCAGCCAAGATCAAGAAGACTGCAGTGCTCCTAAGTGTAATGACAAAGCCAAAGGAACTGCTCTTACTCATGTAAACCACAGTGATGAACAAGGCCAGGGTCGCCAAAGACCCCAAAATCACATTAAATATCAAAAGGGTACACGTTTGTTATTGCCTTTTTGCTAAAGCAAGAGTTCTAGAAAGCAAAGTAAAGCTAAATTTTAAGAAATCTGTAATTAAAGTGTAAGTTGGAATAGCACCATGAGAAAAATATTCCATTTTTAAAAATAATGGTGATATCTTTCAAAGAGATGTGGTTTTACCTTGTGAGTTCTTCATTATCCCTGTGTGCTGATATAGAGAAACACTTTACTATAGTTGGTACATTTGTCTAATCATCAGAATTAGTCAGATATAAATTATAATAACAAAAATACCTTTCTTTCCCCTTGATTTCTTTCTTCTGTTATTCATGGAGCATTTCCAAATCCCAGAGATAACACCACTTGCTGTGTTGATTCACTGAATTTCCAATACAGTTTGGAAAGTTCAGTCATTGACAGTCAAACCAGCCTGATTTTTGCAAGTGTAATCTATATATTTTTGTCATCACTATCCTGTCACAGAACTAGTAAACATGGAAAATAATGACCACCAAAGAGATACCAAATTAAGAAGAGACAGAACACAAGATGCTGACATCCTTAAAATAATGGAAGACCAAACTACAGATTATGTCCACAAAAAGCAAAGGTTAGCAAATAATGCATCTCCTAAAATAATGGATTATATTAATTCACTGATACAAACTTACTTTATAGACTTCAAATAAATAAAAGAAAAGGAGGGGAAAAAATTTTTGTCAGTGAACTTTCACTAGTTTTTTGATTTTATCTTAGCTTGCAGCAAAACAGAGCTAAGAGGACTAGAGTTGGTCTTGGTGAAAAACTGGATAATCAGGTATGTTTTTCAAGGTGACATTCCTAGTAATCTTGAGCAATAAATATAGTCCTCCACCTAGAAACAGTCTAATTTTGTAAGACTGGTGACTCGTTATAAATATGAAAGATTTGAGAATAATTGAGAAAAGTTTATCCATGCACTGCTACTTAGCAGATTTTCTAATGAACATCAGCTATATTTCTAAACAATTAAAATCTGCAATTACAAATTTTAGTTTAGAAATTGGAAGTTTTTGACTACATAATTAACAAACCAAGTGACCATTTTAAGGCCTTTCGTTCCTGATCTTGCATGGGATTTTCAGTAACTTGTGGGTTATGGGCAGGGACAAGAGGCATTAGCAATAGTCTGTAGTTTGTCTGTGTGTTCTCTGTGATGGAAGTGTTCTAAGCTCTCATTTTGTTTGCAGAGATCCAGCTGTTTGTAATTTAGTGGTCATGGGTACTGGTAACAGAATAAAAAAGCCTACCTGCAGAAGTCAAATTCAGCCCTCTCATTCACTCAGGCCACTTTCAGGGCATGCGTCTCATGTAACTATTCAGGATTATGGTTCTGTACTTATAGTTGTGTCTTTTGACTCTATAGGCAGATGAAAACAAGCAAAATCATCTTACTTGTCCTAAAGAGTGTATTTCAGCTCCTAGTCCACCTTTTTCAGCACTTACTGTAAATCCAGCTCAAGTTCCTGTAATTCAGGCAGCAAGTGAGTACATGATTCTAAGAAATTGCAAGGAAGTGAACTTTTAATCAAGACTGAAGAGCCAATGAAGACATAAATACCTACACTATACATGCATTAATTCACAGTATTGTTACAAATTTTAATTTATGAATAGAAAATTCCAGGTATTTATGATTGCATGGGCTGTCCTAAAGCTTGGCATGTTCCCAGCACTAGAAAACCCAGCTTGTCAAGTGGATGGAAGGATAAAAGGAGGAAGATCAGATAAAATACTGCAGGCTCAAGTGAGAATGTAGCAAAGAAAATCATAAGTAGTGTTGCTGAGGAGGAGGATAGTGAGAAGTGTTAGACCTATTGTTGCAGACTAGTGGAAGTCTGAGATATTGTCCTGCAAGCTGGAGTTTAAGGCAAGATTTCTCTACAGTTTATATTGCAATGTATTTTAAGCAGGAAATAGTCTTTTGGAGGCTTTTTTGGCTTCATTGGCAAGAGTTTGCAATGTATGGAGTGAATATATTTCTTGATTACATGGTTTTAGTGATACATTGTCTAAAAATATAGAAAGATGTTTGTTTGCATGTGTGTGTGCATGCTGAATTTCCCCCTTTTTCTAAAGCACCAGCCCTTCTGAAAAGTTAGATTAAAATGAAGTTGTTTCTGCTGCTTGTTCTGACAGAACTTTTGGCGTAATTTGTGATGAGTGCATTACAAAAGTCTTGACTGATCCTTTGCACTTAGAGTATTCATATGCTTGCTAAATATAATTGTAATATCTTGTAGAAAACAAGATGGCAGAACAATTGCAACAAATGAAGGAAGACAGAAGGCACATGGAAAAAACTAGAGAAGAACTGAGAAAAAAAGCTAAAGGGCTACTGGAACAAAATAAGCTGAGGAGATACCATGGTACACTTTTAATTTATTTTGGAGTTTGGAGTGATTGAGAAATTACACTGAAACCAATGTGAAAATATTTGTCTCCGTGTCAGTGAGCTTAATTAAAGAGAGAGCAGTTTGCTAACCAATAGCTCCAAGAAGACTTATTTTGTGTAATAGCATTCTAGAAAAATTCAAGGTTGCAATGTTTCCTTCCACTTTTTTTTTTTTTTTTTTTTTAGTGCCACGTCTTATAAAGTTAAGGCTGTTCTGGCTTTCATAAACTATTCAAGTTGTGTCTCATGTATGTGCAGTGCTCAGAGAGCTACTGCAGGGTGCTTCTCTCTGAGGCCCAGGGCAGCTTGGCATATTCTAATCCTGCCTTTAGCTTACAAGGTGCTTACAGAGGCTTGTACTGTGTTGATAAGGCTTCAGGTAAATTGCAGCATAATAAGTTTTGTTGCTCCTATCCAATGGTATTCAGCTTATGACATGGAAGTTCCAAGCCTGTTGTGACAAGCTTGACAAACCTTGGTTTTTAACACGGTCAAATCTCATTGAAATTTCACACAAATTTTCTTAATAAAATTATTTTCAAGTTTATATTTAAAACTATGTTCCCTAAGTCATATCCCAGTTATACAGAAATGAGATTTAATAATTTTGATATTTTGAGAGCTTTCTGTTTGTGCTTAAATGTAGCTAAGTCATTACAAGTCCCAAATATTACTTGCAGCTCGTTGAAAGGAGACAAGCACTTCTTTCAGTTATTCTATAAGAACATGGCTGCACTGCATCCTGCAGTGTGGGGAATTTGTATTTAAAAAACCCCAAACTTGGGTGTGTGAAGCAGTAACTCTGTAGTAGCATGGAGCTGTAATTCAAGCAAGAGATAAGCCCTAAATGGCACCTTCATTGCCTTAAATTATGTTATCCAGTTAGGTAAAATAAAGGTTATTTCACAAGGATTCAAACAGCTTCTGCAGGTTCTGCAGGAAGCATCTGTACCTCTGAATTTTTTTTACCAGACCTGTAGAGTTTTGTAAGTAAGGACATGCAGCAACCATGTTTCTTTACAAGATATCAAAGAAAGAGCATTTTCTGCAGTAACAGCCAGCTGAGTCTGTATTTAATATCCTCCTGAGACTGCCCTGCTGACAGGCACTCTCAGTTACCTGGCATAGAGTCATCCTCCACCAGCTGAGATCTGTTGGGTAAGTTTCAGTTGTCCTGCTTCCATAAACTATGCCTGGAAAGAAGGGATTCATTAAAGACACTGCAGGTATGCAGTGGCCATGAGACTGCCACAGCACATACAGGGGCATTTATGTGCCCCCTCTTGATAGCACACTGACAACATAGGAGGGATCATAGTGAAGTGTAAAGGCAACTAACTGTTTCCCATAATTTGGGATGTCACATTGAAACTGCTCAAAATCTCTGGCCATGAAGAGCATAAATTTTGCCTAAATCTACAATGCTACATTTTCTGGTACAGTAGAGCTGTGGGCTTCAGACTGTGCTGGGCATAGCACTCTTCACAGGAGCACTTAGGTGCTGCAGGCTGAATAAACTCTGGGTTTGGACACTGTGTTTTATCTCAGTGGACAGATAGAGCCTTTTGTTGCAGGTGTTTGTGTGAAAACCCAGTTGCATTTAGAGTGAACATAATTTTAATGAAGATTTTTTCACTAAATGTTTGTTTTAAAGAAACCTCCTGCCATGTTTCAGAGTGTGCATTGGCCAGCTGCAGCTTGTGAGGTGAGCTGGTCATTATTGTCTTCAGCAGATCTTATAATAAGGTAAACAAGACCAAGCACTATTACTGTTTTCCTGTGCAGTTCGTGAGGAATGGAAGAAGAAGTACTTTGAAACCAAGAAAGCTACAGTTTCACTGGAGGATACTTTAAACAAACTGGAACAAGATTTAGAGCTTTACCACCAGAAATTGCTCTTGCAATTGGAAGCCAGGGAGAGTCAAAAACGACCAAAAAAACCAACAGCCTCCAAGGTATTTGCTTGTATTTTTTATTACCTTTTTTCACAGTCTGAAGGTTTTTTGTAGAAAATATAAATTAAAGAAACAGATTTATCACCAACCAATGACTTGTAAAGTAGCTTCAGCTCAATGATCTGGGGGACAGAGTTCCTTCAGGCCATTTGTCTCAAAAAGACTGCAGAAGTGCTTGAGTCTGAGCATTTGTTTCTTTCTGCTTTCTGTTGGTATCTTTTTGTAACAAAATCCCCTTCTGTTCAGTATGGTTAATGGATTGTTCAGTTCTGCTTTGTTTCTATCATCCAAGATTTCATCCAAGGAGGAAATGAATGTTTGGAGCATGCAAAATGTATCTGTAGCTTTTGAAGTGGTTACACTTCAAGTGTTGTGCAACTGTGAGTTTCACAGGAAGTTCAGAGGGATTAAAAAGAGGAAAGATAAAAGAAAAGGAGGAAACACCCTTTCCAACAGTTGTGTCTGCTAATTTTCTAAATGCATTAATGGAAGCAAGGCTGTTGAGAAAGCAGAAGCTAGCCTAGGAAAAATAAATGTCCTTTTCTTGCATCTGAAAGGTGTGTGCATGTACAATCTAAGAGTGCATATTATATACAAACATGTATTATTTGAGCTATCTTGAAATATCTACAGAATAAAAATATTAATAGTGTTGACATTGCATTACTGGCTATGTTCAGACACTTTATTGGTCCTTTTGAGGGGCATATCAGGGGTGGGGTTTTTTTGGTCTCCCTGGCTAGGCACAGAGAGGCCTTACATGAAGGGTATGCACAAGGCACCGTTCCTACAGCAGTTCTGTAGTGGCCAGCACCCCGAGAAGGAGCCAGGATTTACAGAGCTGCTAGGCTGAGCACAGGGATGCTCCCCAGCCCTCGTGAGCCACGTGCAGCCAGGCAGGCATCAGCCAGGTGGGAAGGCAGGAGCTGGAAAGAGCTTGTTAGAGGATTGTTTCTGAGTGGTGAAGTAACACCCAGAGAGGGAACAGATGCACTGATGCTGCACTTTGAGGTTTGTTGTTGTTTCACACAGAATTACACAATCATCCAGATTGCTACAGTGCAGCACGAACTCCATCAACTGAGGAGGAAGCTAGATGATACAAAAGTGAGACTCCTGATAGAAATTAAGGTACTGTGCCTTTTAATTAGAACAGTCAAAATGTGGCAATATAGAAAAAAATAGAAATCTCAATTATTAGATCATGTAAATATTTTCTAAACAATATTTGCTTGTTTTATGCTGTTAGTTTTAAGGTGTTAGGTGTTGTGACTTTAGCGTTTGAGCTAAATTACTCCAGAACACAGGTTATCAGATGATTTGGAATGTATGGCATTCAAACAACTTAGATAGTCAATGTACTAAAGCTAAAGTTCACAATCTTGTTCATAAAATTCTCATTTCATTCGAAAAGTAATTGAAGAAATACACCTGGTGTAGTGAGGCACTGAGCAGTAATAAATAGACCATGGCTAAAGCAAAAAAGTGGTATAAAGGAAAACAAAACAAAACAAAATTTTAAAAGGCTGTCTAAGCAGATGGCAGACCTCTTCATCTGCTTTATTCCGTATCAGTGTTGCCTATGACTATTTTGGAAGGAAGAGGTAGTATAGCCTTCACACTGGACAGCTTTCCAGCTCTGAAAGCTTGAAATAGGAGTGTTCTACATCACAGAGATTGCCCATACTCCTGTTTACTGGGTACTCCAGGGTGGTTGTAATTATTATGACTCCTCCATTGTCTAGCAAGGAGTGGAAAGAACAATTTTCCAGTTGTCTCAAAAACATCAGGGCAAAGTACAGAACAAAGTGGTGCTAGAACATGTAAAATTTCAAAGATGAAAGATGTATTCTGTATTCAGCCATCCTGTATAAAATTCAGTCTTAGTTATATAAACCTATATGCATGTCAGCTCCAAAAAAAGCTTCCTTAAATTGCCATTCCTTAAATGATGGGTTCTTTTGCAGATGAGAAAGCAGGCAGCATCTGATTTACGAGCACTGAGAGCGGAACTGACACAGAAGAAGATTCATTCAGCTTTAATTCTCCAGCCCAGAAAATCAGGAATTTAAGAACACTAACATCTGTGAAGTGTCCAGCAGCTCTTTAGTGTATGTAAAAGAGAATTTCAGAGCATTTGTTTGTATGTTCTTGAAGTTACTTTGTAAAAAGACATTAACTATATAAATGTTATGGAATTTGTATACTAGGTTACTGAGGTAATGCAGCTCATTTCTTTTTAAATCTCACTTAATGTAAGATTAGTCAGCTACTTAAACATACAGTTTAAGCTAGTAACATGTCTAAAGCAAAGCTGCTATCTTTAAAGTGCAAATTAGTTAATTGTGTAACATCCCAGTGGTATGCTGATGTTCTTTGACTAACTACATAGCTCCTAAGAAATAAACCTAAAATCTGTAACCTTCTGTTTTATTTTCAGGCTCACACATTCAATTTTTTAGAAATTATTAAAATACAGTTTCTGTAGAACAACAGCAAGTTATCCTTTATTTGGCTATTTACTGGAGTATGTTTTTGCCATTATAAATATGCCTACCTATAAACTACCAATATATCATTACTGATCATTATGAAGCATAAACAAAATCTCAGATAATCTCACTTTATTCCATATCTAGCTGGTTTTGTTCCCTCTCTTATTAGGAAAGGCACACAGACATTAACTGTCTTCTGTAGTTTGAAAGCTTGCCTAAAATCTTTCTCTTGGACTAGTATAAAAATGATCCTGGTACAATTTACACTCTTCAATATTCTGCCTTTCCTTAATTCCAAGGTCATGCATGCCTTGAGATTAACAATTCTCTGAAAGAGAAATCAGAAACCTCTTCATAGGAATTTTTTTCTAGCTCTGCTGTTTGCCTCTTTCCAAACCAGATGTTATTATATTAAGCAAAAGAATAACATGGTAGGAATTAATCTCAGCTAAAAAGCTATCAAGGCTTTATTACTGGAAATGAAACACTCATGGGAAATAAGTTATGGGATAAGACAATTATGTGGCTCTCAAAAGAACTAACTTAGAAAAGTCTTGAGTCAAACCACCCATTATCCAATTTATTTTCTTAACGATAGGACTTAACCAAGATTTTAGTGCTAAAGGATTAAATAAATTATTAAAACTACACCCACTTAATTTTTGCTTAATTCAGAGTTCAAGCTCACATTCTCTATTTAAGAATTGTGTCTTATTTAAGATACAAAAGCAGGCTAATAGCTACTGGAAAATCAGAAGCTAAATTTGAAGTACAGTATTATCAATTCATGATTCTTGACTGCTACAGGAAGGAGAATTTTATTATTAAGTCAGCGGGGCCTCAGAATTTTGCAGGTCAGATATTCGTAGCAGAAGACTCAATTCAGCAACTATCCATCTCACAGTATTTAAGTAGTAATACACATTCTGAAGTACATACGTGTGTAGATATATATATATATATATAAAATATAATATAGCAGCTTCTCTTAAGACATATAGAGTGGTGTTCTAGTGAAAAGCCTTCTGATTTGTCAAGGGAATTTTTTAGTTTCTGCAAGAGCAGTAGGCTTCACCTTCTGCTTTCCATCACCTGTAGTATCAAGCAGACACTTCAGATGAAGTCTTCCAGTCCTGTCCTCAGTAGCCATTATGGTAATGCTGCCATACTATGGTAACTCCTTAGCAAGCAAAATATCCCAACCCCCCCCCCCCAATCAAACCAAACCAAAAATCCCACCAAGCCCACAACTGACTACATCTACCTAATTACATATTTTTTTTAATTAATGGAGTCTCTTAAGCAGGGCTCAGTTGCACTTTAATCTGGTTGTGAAACAGTTCTGAGAAGCAGACAAGCAGTGTGGGCTGTAAGCTGTAGAACAAGTAAAGCACAGACAGGGAACACTGTTTACAAGCCTTACCAAAACCAGCATTTTATTAAACAAAAAAATCCTGTAAACACCAGCCAATCTACATCACTACGGATATTTTAAGAAGTTATACAACTTCCTTAGGCAAATGATTTTATGGAAATATGAACTAGAAAGAAAACATAATCTCCTGTTATCTCAGAGGCAATACCCCATACGAAAAAAACTAGGCTACTAAATGAATCATAGGGTATGTGGGAAAATAGATATGCAGTTCATTAAATAAGCTTCTGAATTCCAGTTTTCAGGAAGTAAAGTAGTTTGAAATGGAATGAAACAATCATCCAAGTCCTCTTCATATTAATGATTCTTCTTCAAGCTAAGGTCAGATATTTTCAGCTTTTGAAACTGAGGAATTCATGTGATATATAAGTAAGTACAGTGAAACTGGAGTTTATTGAATATTCCTTTCTAACAACAGCTTTGATATAAATCTTAACAGCAACTACGTCATGTTAGGTAATTTCTTCAGTCCATAAAATTCTTTTAATCTAGAAGAGTAACCAAGCTGCATATGATCAACAATCTGTCTCTCCATTATTCTGTTTAATCTGATTCTCGAGTGACTTAGCTAAAATATTGTTTGGGTTGGAAAGTCAGAAGGCTGAGACTGCACCATGTAACACAGGAATAAGTATTGGCTGCAGCTGGCAGCTTTAGCAAAGCATCATTATGAGACTGCCCCTGTAAATCCATCAATTGGTTCTTGTTACCAGAGTCACACTGGGTTCAAGCATTAACTAACTTACAGTAACTGTGAAAAATTAAAAAGATGAGCAGTCTTAAAAAAACCTACTGATGAAAGGATTGTTGTTCCAAAGCAACAATGGAACTTTCCGAAGAATGAAAATACAGCTTTGCATATAAAATAACAAGATTAATTTGCCTAGTTTTTAAAGTTTTTGTAATCACAATATATTTGTATAGTCAAAATCTGTGATAGTGTAAGCCAAAATAAAAAATTACCAATTTTCATCATTCTAAATCACACAGTTCTTATGGTATCAGAGCTTGCCACATTGCTTGAGTCTGTTGTTCTGCTGCAGTTTCCCTGGAATAGTCAAGACTGTTTCCATTCCACATGCCAATGCCCCTTAAGCCTCGCCTCTTCACATATGCTGCTTTTAGAGAGATGCTGTGAGGGTCATCAAACCATACCTGGTGGAATTGACCAACAGAATCCTAGAAAAGCATTTAAACACTAGTGTCAGTGATCACATTTTCTCTTGAACACAGTTAAAAGTACAACTAAAAACTGAGATCTTCAAGCTATGTAGATTTATATAACATTTTACTGATTTATCAATTCTTTGTCACACAGGACAATTAAAAATTCTGAGCCAAATATTCTAAGCCAAAAATTATACAATTTTTAAATTGTAAAATATAAGCTGAATTGTAGAATATAAGTTATAAAACAGTGACACAATTTAACTGAATATATTTAGAAGAAAAATCTTAGCTAATTTGTATTTTATTTTTTTTAAATATGGCTAAAATTTCAGATACAGTATCTAAGCTAACAGGTGAATTTAGTTAGAGACTGTGGGAGTTTTTAAACAATAAACAGTTTTAGAGGAGATTATAAAATTTTATCAAGGTTATGCTGCTTTTACCTGGTCATTGCTTACAACATTTTTTAATAACCAACATGTGAAACTTAAATAACGTTTAAAGAAACAAGACAAAATGGATACACTGTGTTGTTCTTGTAAGCACAGTCACTTATGGACTCTTTCACTGTGTCTGTGTAGAAAACAAATGCAGAAGAGAACATGCATGCAAGGCACCAAGGTAGAAAAAATTAAGAGCATCTCAGAATAATTTTTAGTTTAAATCATTTATCAACTCATGAAAGTAACTATAACAGTGAAGGATGGAGTTATAGGACGTCTTTGTGCCAAAATGTCCTTTTTGATATGATGCAGTATCTCAAGAAGACTGGAAAATAATAAAGATCTTTATTACTCTTGTAGTCTTCAGGCACTGCACCCCTCTCTCAGAATAGGAATTGAAGACACAAATTTTCAGCAACCCTTTACAATACCAAAAACAAAACAAAACAAAACGTAGAAAACATAAAAGGAAGAATCTAATCCCAGTAACTTTATAGTCAAAGATCTATGGTTCATGAATGTTTACTCCACATCCCAGTGGCTTGGAAAAAGACTCTTACCTTGTACTCATAAAATGGAGCCTTCTGTAGCTCATCCCACAGCACCCCTGAGAGAGAACTGTTCACCTGCTTCATGATGGCTGCGTAGGGCACCTGCCTCCCTGCAGCGTCACTGCAAGGAGCCCCACGGAAAGGCACTTTGGCAAGGGAACAAACATGGTCCTGAAAAACAAACAGGGAGGCATCAGTTTCAGGGAAGATATACTGATCTCCAGAATGGAAGTACAGCCAAGAGCAGTTCACTAAAGGTGTTAGGGCCACAAAAATTCCAAATCTTCCAGCAACTCCAGCAGGTACTATTTGTAGAGAAGAGTAAATTAAAACAGCAAAACTTTCTTAATCAATAATCAATACAGGATTGGATGGATACCCTTCAGCTTAAACAGTTGTCTTATCTTTTCCATCTTTAATTAACCCTTACATTTTTCCTAAGTATAATATTTGAGACCTCATAAACTGCTATGCTGTAGCAGTTGTAGGTTTGCTATGGTTTGTTGCACCTGTCTTTACAGTGGTGTTGAGAAGGCACATACAAGTGTTGTAGGGCCTTTGGACATCATCTCTTCTCATACAGATAACATTTATAGCTCCTTAGTCAAACACAGTGCTTGGATGTCATGGGGTTCAGGCTGCCTAAGGAGCTAAAATGCCTTGTCTGGTAACACACTGTTCATCAGTTACCAGCCAAGCAAAAGATTCTGTTTTGTGTCCCAGCTTGATGCTCTTATCCATCAGACCACAGTATTTCCCAGTCCAAAAACAAGATTACCAAAATCTATTTATATCTTTCCAAAGGAAAAAAATTAACAGTTTGATTGCAAACAAATAATCTTCACCTTACCGTAGACAGGTTTTGGCAGACATAGTCATAGCCATACCAGGGGACACCCATCACAAGCTTCTTGGGATCAATGCCCATAGCAATGTACTCTTCATATCCTAGTTTGGAGGGAAATAAAAATTAACATG